CGAGTTTTTTTGTTTTTTCTCGCGATTTTGAGTTTTTTTTTGTTTCCCCTAAAGATTAGCGGAAGGAATCCACAAGGGGGGATAGTTTTGTTTAGCGCGCCGAGTATCCCATTTGTTCTTTCATATGGAATAATAGGAGGTATTAGATCTTGCACTGCCATTTGGCCGTTGTTTTTTGGTGGTGCTGGCGCTGGCGCTGGCGCTGGCGCTGGCGCTGGCGCTGGCGCTGGCGGTGGTGGTGGTGGTGGTGGTGGTGGTGGTGGTGGTGGTGGCGGTGGCGGTGGTGGTGGTGGTGGTGGCGTGGTGCTGCAGCTGCTGCTGCTGCTGCTGCTGCTGCTGTTGCCCTTTGCTGCTTCTTGCCGCTTTTTGCTGCTGCAGCCGCTGCCGTCCTGCTGCTTGGTGCCTCTTGTTTGTGCTTGGTTGGGCGAGTCTGGCCGGCTGGTTGGCTGGCTGGTCGGTGCCCACTGGGTCGGTAGGTTGGTTGAGGTACCAAGACTGGGTGAAGTCCAGGTGAACTCTATTTGTGTGCGTAGCATGTCAGATGAAAGGAATCTGGTGGCCACTGGCTGCTTAGCAGACGTTGTGTCACAGTTGTTGCTGGTATCTCTTGAAATGTTTCTAGGGGTGTTGATAAATGTCTTGGCTTTAATATGGGTGTTTCACTTTGCCAGTTTATATTCAGTTGGGGTGACTGTCAAACATACGGCCGCCCCCTTATTGCCTTATTGAACCCAGGGTCCTGTGTGCCGCGGAATACTAAAGCTCACTTGCCGGGTTCCTGGACATTTTTGGGAAGACCATCTGGGCAAATAGCAAGTTCCTTGAGAAAAAGGCCCCTAGATTATGACAACCTTTTAGTGGCTGTTTTCGGGGTTTAACTTGCTGGTGCGACAGGTAGGGAATGTGGTTGAATGCACCCAGGAATTGGTCCCCTTAAAGGAATCCACCAGTTGGATGGTTTAATAAGGGTCGTTCCATGTCTCATTCCGTGCCAATCGCACCAGAAAGATCCAGCAAGCTTCTAAACCTCTGAGGCAATCCATACCTCGTGGAGGCTGTGGCCCGATTTCTGCAAGTCGACGTGGACGTGCCGCTGAACAAAGCGGGCGACGAGACTAGGTGTGCACGTGGACGTAGATGTGTGTCCTTCGTTTGTAGAGTGGCTTGGTTTGTTTTCCTGGGCTTGCTTGCGCGTGTAGCGTTGTAGTTGGTTGCTTGGATAGCAAGTCAGTTGCTTGCTTACTCATTCGTGTTATTCGACACTTAGTGAATCACTTGATTAGAGAAGCACTTGAAGACTTGGCTGATTACTTGCTTCGCTGATGTGTTCGTGTGATTGTTTCAATATTGGTTTGATTATTTTCATTGATGGTCTGCTTTGCTTAGCTCTGTCTTGCTTTGCTTTGCTGACTTTGCTGGTGTTTTTGCATCATAGGTGTGGGCATGGTGCGTATTGTAAAGCTGGCGTGTGTGGCGTTTCTTTGGTTCAGCCCGCATCGGCCTAGCCCGGCCCGTGAGCTTTGTCAGGACAGCGGCAAGCATGAAGGATACTAAGGTGTGACGAACCCATACTCTTCTTGTTCGCCTGGAATGCACGTTGCTGCGGCGTTTTTAGAGTTGGGTTCTTTGGTTGCGGGTGTGGTCTTTGACAGAAGTGGCGTTCGGATTGTTTACTCCTTCGAAACGTTGTGTCTCGTTGTTTGCGTGACTTGGGGTATGGCTGATCTGCTTGTTTAGCTTTGCACGATCGTCTGTGCATGGTCGCACACGTCACAAAGTGTTTGAGCGACTTAGCGGGTTGATCAGTTTTCAAGACACACATTAGGGCTGTCCTTGCGTTGCAAGCAGTCAGCTCTTTTGGAAACAGATACTAGCCATTGTGTTCCAGCCTTCGGTTGCATAGCAGAAGTTGGCCAACGGCTTGCAGTCAGGATGGCCACTGGATATGCGTCTCTCCACCTGGCACCCCTCGTGCTTCGCCAGCGGCCGGCGATGATCTGGACGAAGGTCCCGCATTGGCGCCGCTGGTCGACGGCGAGGAATGCCAGGGGTTGGCAGACCTCTTCGAGGGGATTTAGCCATCGTCGCGAGAACTTTTTAGTTTCACCGCGGGGTGTGCAAAGGATATCTGTTTGATCACCCCCGGTTTTGAGATCCCTGGTTTATGGATAGACAGTCCTTTTGTTTCACACCTCAACGGGAATCGTATACCCACGCCGCATGTGCCGCATGTACAGAGTGACTCCGTGTTTTGCTTGGCCCGTATCGCTCGTGGCCTGAAATTACGAAAAGCGTCTTTGCGCAGATTGACCTGCCATGTGAGTCGGGTGCAAAAGCCGTGTGAATTCATGGCGGCCTCCTGGATGTCGATGTCTGAGCGATCATGACAAATCCATGACGGCTTCGTGCAAGATACACATCCCAACTGGCAGGTCAGCAGGTACAATCTTGAGCATCTGCCGGGTACAATTACTCTACACCTGGACCCCAAGTCCAGGGTCCATTTTCCCATTCTGGAGTTTCCGGAAGTAGCGTTCGACGTTGGGTTCCTTGAGTGAAAGGGGTAGTTATAGCGACCTCACACGACCAAAAAACCCAAATGGTGGTTTATGTGGGGAATATCCCTCCAACCACCTTACTTCAGGCTGGTGAAATATAATTCACCTAGATGGATGTGGTTGCCACGCAGACCAACGCAATGTTTTTTGGATGGATGGATTTCTTGCCTTTGCTTAAGATTGTTTTTCCCCTGTTGGTCTTAAAGGGAATCTACCACTCATTGAACGGCTATTTAGGGGTTCCAGGAATCTGTGCTTGCGTTGCGTATGCATGATTTGGCACCAAATATGCTGGCGGGTGGTGTGAGGCAGTATGTGGGTGTGTGTCGAAATAGGGGGACCCCTACAAATCGTTGTTTCCCTTTTAGTTCCCCTTTAAAACCCTACCCACACAGAATAACGTCAGAAGAAAACATGCACCGGTGTTGGCTTCATTTGATTACCCACTTGCAGATCTACAGAGCAACCGAAACCAAACTGAGCACATCTTCCAAATCGCGGGGTGTTTCAATTTGGAGGTGTTCCCTGAAAAGGACACCACAACTGAGTGAGACTGGTCGACACCCGCTTTGCTTGCGGCCCGGGGTTGGGGCCTCCTTCCTTTTTCACTCAGACTCAGGAGCCTCCAGGCCCAGACATCTTAGGCTCAGTGCTGTCGCAGCCTGAAGGTCCCAAACCTCACTGGGCTTTGGAGATATATTTTTTGCAGGAATCCCTTCAGCCGAGCAAAAAACCGACCCTTCACTCCAAGTGTTGGAAAAGAGGTGTAACATTGGCACATGCATGATGTGTTAGCCTGCGAGCTGCCCAGACGTGTTTTGCTAGTATGTCATTCGAGTTGGCATCCTTTTTGATTATGCCTGCACTTTGTAATAACCTCACTTAATCAAGGCTGAAGACAAAGCTTTGGAAACAACGTGAGCTGTCTGCCATGTCTCGAGACATGTTATGTGTCTTTGTCCGGGTTTGTCTCAACGGGGGACCCTTTAAAGTTGTGGTTTTCCAGTTGTTTCCCTCTAACATCTCAAAAAGGCTGCCATCATTTGAGCCAGCAAATGGGACTGTCTTTTTTGGAGAGTGGGACCTCCTGGGAGGTTGATACTAGCGTGTCAACTTGGTTCTGCATCATCTCGCCAATCTGCTTCAACACCACCCCCCAACGTGGATGGACGAAATCCTGCACCACCTAAGAACCCTTGAGAAACCACTGTTTGTTAGTATTTTCAGGGAATCAGACAATTCCAGGGCTTCTTGGGTGGTGTAGGGCTTCGTTCATCCAAAGTATGAACCATGAACCTTGATTTGAAACATGCGGGAACTCCGCTTGAACAATCATGCTCCGAGTACTCTGCTTAAACACTACTGAGCCTTTGCAATTCAGGAGGGCGATTCTCGTTTTGCATGAACAGTTGATGAGGACAGGGTTCTAGCAGAAATTCTAGCTTTCACTAGAACTCAAATATGAAATCCTTGCTTAAACGGTCTTCAGTCTGGTTTGACTAGACACCTTCTTTCAATTTATTTGTTGAAGGTGGTGTCCCATCCTAGGATGACTTGTTCAATCTTGTCATTATGACTTAGATACAATTTTGAACGACATAATTCTAGTAGAAATTATAGTTTTAACTAGGATTCAGATAGCATTTCGTTTTTCGAAGATGCTTTCAATCAGATTTTCATTAGAATTCATACAGGTGATGTCCTTTCCCAGGAGGAATTATTCATGCTTGCTTCATGAGAATTAAATAGACATTAACAAGGAACGAATTCTAGAAGAATGGATGATTTCTGTTAGAATAAAAATAGGGTCTGCTTTTTAAAGAGGAGTCCAAACAAATGTGAAATAGTTGTTTTTTTCCAGATCAAGTTCACATCTAAAGGTGTTTTCATGTGTTGTATCAAACAAATTATGGAATCCAGTACGAGCAGAGTTCTAGTTAAAACAACATGTAGGTTAACTAGGTTTTCCATTTTAACAAGGACTTCAATTAGGTTTTTTATTGGACACCAACATTCAGTTTAGAATTCATGTCCTTTTTCATGACTTTATTCATAGTTGAGATAGGAGCCAATAAGCACAGAGTCCCACAACACGAGAAAAGGAGAACACTGAGAAGCACTCCCAGGAAATCCCTTTCTGCTATTTTGGGGGTTCCAGTTTGTTCGTGGGTTTAAGCTAAGAAAATACCAGCCCCAGATGTTGATCTAGGGGTTGATTCCCCATTGTTTTTAACCATTGTTCTTTTCAATAACCAGCCGTTTTCCCGATTCCGGAGGTTTTTCTAGAAAGAAGGTATCCCTGGAAAGAATGGAATTGGAAGGTACCCCTAGAGTTCTTGGATGTTAGGACTTTAGCTTCTTGCCAACTAGTGGGTTTTCCGAATTAAACCACTAAAGGTTACACAGTTTTTGCATGGGAGCAGAAAGCCACCGAGTGTTGAGGTGGTCTTGTACTTCTGGCTCTTCCAATTCAGCCGGAAGTCCATCCGCCAGTTCCAGCAACTGGACAGCGTGTCCCGGAGTCCCATTCAGTCCGTGTACACCGAGGCGCCCTGTCGTTTGAGTCGGTCGTTTGAGGGTCGTGGGTTTTTGGCGGCACCCTTTTGCTGCACCCTTTTTGATGGCTTCTTTCTGTAAATAGGGTATATTATATATATACAGCAAAACTAGACCTTAATAAGGTCTATTTTGGCCAAACTAGACCTTAAACTAGACCTTATTGTTGGAGCTCCCCGCAGCCACCTCATCATCGCCCCACCGTCGGTCCGTCGTTGGTCCGCTGTCGGTCCGTCGTCGGTCCGTCGCCGCTCCGTCGCCGCCCCGTCGTCGCTTCGCCGTCGCTCCGTCGTCAGCTTGTCGTCGATATGCCGTTTTGCTGCCGCCAGCCTGGCGTCGTGCGTCGCCACTTCGACCGCCCATGCACTTTAGGCCGTCGCGGCCCGTCGTACCACTTTTGACCTATTAACTAACACATGAGCATGTCTTTTGAAACTAGATAAGGTATATATATATATAGCACCCGACTCTTTTTTGGTGAAGGGAACCAAAAGGCAACCGTTGCGATTGTTTGGGGAGTCTCCCAAAAAGGAGAACCGGAGGAGGGCGGCTGAGAAAGGGGAATCCAGTATTGGCGCACGCACTCAAGTCCGCCCATTTAGAACTATCCAACTGAGAGCATGTCCGCAGGAGGTCTGGCGTAAAAGCTCTCAAGACTTGCCTTCTAGCCTCACTGGCAGGGTTCGCAGAATCCTAAGATCTTTGCGAACTCCTCAACTGATTCTTTAACATGTCCGTAAAACTCAGAGCTGGAATTCAGACGATTGCTGATCAACCGAAATGTATGATGCCATTCACCAAAGCACCAAAGGTCCGCGCATCTGTTTATTTGCCGCGATGGCCAAATGATCGACAAGTCCCCAGACTCCCTTGCGAACCTATTTTGGCCAAGGTATCAAGAGCAGTTCCGGTGCACGGATTGCTTACACTGAGCCCACTCCGGCCAAAATGACAAAAACAACATGCATGTGACGCCCTTTGTGTTCACAGCACACCCCCAATCATTGGGGGCAAGACTGTCAAAATTCAAAAAACAGGCAAACACGTGCTTTGTTTCTCGCAAATAAAAGAGAGCAGGCCCTATTGAGCAGCCGAGCCTGCCCACTTCAAACATCAGGTTTGAATTGCGAGCGCGGTTGGGAGCGAACAGGTGGATGCGTGCGCACGGTTTCCAGTTCGTGTAATGGCTTTGTGGCTGTCCCGTTGTGCACTAATCCGCCCAATTATGCATGATCTGTGCAAGGAGACAGTGCCTGGAAGGGTGGTTCATAAGCATGTCCAGAACAGGCTTCAATTCCACTACTGGAGGAAACAAACGTCAGAAATTACCGGAGCTCCATGAATGGAGTTTCCATTTCCCCTGTGGCCACGCCCTCGTCAGCCGCTTCCTGAAAGAAGGCATCGGGCTGGCACGATCTGGCTAGAAGCTTTCGAAGGTCCAGTCGACTGCCAAGCGTTTGGACGCACGTAAACATGCCAGGACTTGGATATGACCTTATCAAATCCATGTTTCAAGCGTTTGGGGTGCTGCTTAAGTATGCCCCAACGCTGACAGAACGCTGACATACACCATTGGCCGGTGAATCTTGTATGAGTCTGGACTGAGGAGAAGTTGTTGCTAGCTGAGATTTTTACTCTTTCCACTTCATCCACTGTTCCGCGGTCCGAACGCCCTTTCTGCACCCCGCACGCGCTTTTTTGTCAAATCGGTGGGGCTGTGCTCAATTCAAAATCACTTGGCCATTTGCGGTAGCGGTTCGCAGCATGGACTTCTTGGCCATTTCAGGAACCTTCTCGAATGAGGCCCCGCTTTCAGCAAGCCTATCTATCTGAAAATATGTTTGCAACTCGAATTGTCCATCATCCTCCAACATCCCGCTCTCCGCCCGACCGCTTAAGACATGAGTTTCTTTTTGGATGGTCGCTGGACAAAGTCCTCGTGCGTGACGAGAACCGCAACCTCATAGTTTATATCCAGCTGCCCAACTTTTCTATTTGAAGCAGAGCGGTGTGCATGTGGCTGGTTGTTGTCCACATCGATATGGACCCTTCGCTGCACATCACAAAGAATGGGGATTTAGGTCCACCCATTATTTTGGAGCTTGTCCGCTCAACATGCACGGCGACATGTTTACTCAACAGATCACACCACTACAAGGAGACTTATTTTGAAGGGCCCAAAAATCATGGGGTCCCCTATGTTGAGAGATATGTTTGCTCCACCTTTGGTGGCTGCCCGAAATCGTGCAAGTCATCCAACAACACACACTCACAAAACCACGTGGGATGTTCGGTACTGTAGAAGTTAGATGAGAGAATCGGTTGCTTGGCACATATCCTCATAGGTGCCACGACCGGCGGACCCCAAAATGTGGTGGTTGGCGCCCCTTTCGTCCAAGCCCAACAAGCCTCAAACACCCATGTCGGGCATCTATGGAAACCAGTGGGACGTTTCACTTCGGCTCCGCTGCGGTTCCGCTGGGGGAAGTGGGCAGGCCGCTCTCCAATGCCGGAAGCTGACGCGGCTTTCACCAGGGTTGACCCCCAGCTCACAAGAGGTATGGAGGTGAAAGCAAGTGGGTCTCTCTGTCTTGCGACCCTTTCTGGTCTTTGTTTAAGGGACACCAAAAGAAAGCCGTCTCCGTGCAAAAACGGACAGATCACCGAAATCCAGTTTGGTGGCCCCTAAACAGCGACCCAGCAGTGTCAAATCTTGGTGTCTAAGGTGGTTATTAGGTTCTTAGTCGGTTTAGTGCCTGGGTTTCCAATAAATCCACCAACCCTTATTCGACTTGTAGCAGATCCTGTTTTGGTGGTGGTCCCCCCACTCAAGAACCCCGATGACATGTCGTCGCGCTGTCAAGCCGAATCGGGAGGTGCTGAACGGCATCGTGAGCTGTCGCGCCTTTGCGTGCGAGAGTCGATACCAGCAGCGGCTCTCGCAGCTGGTGGATGCGCCTCTGCTGGCGAAGTTCTTCTGCGTCTTTGTGCTGTTGGTTTCTTTGTTGGTTGGTTTCTAGGTCCCCCAGTAGTGCCCTTGTACCCTGTTTTTGGGGAGGGTTCCCCTACTAAAATAAACTACAGAAAAAAACAGGGTACCCTTATTCTAACCTCTCCACTGGAGGACCTAGGTTTGGTTTGCTTGGTCTGTTGGTTGGTGGGCTGGGGGGGATGGGTGTTGTGTTGATGTCATATATATATATATATATCTACTAGTGTATACTTGGATATACATATACATATGTTCGTATGTGTGTGTGTGTGCATGTACACATCAGCACCTATGTATGCATTATATGCACATTGTAAACATGTTTGTCTTCTACTTCTCTTCACAAGTATGCACATTTCCGCATAGGGGCGGTTGCAGCTGGCAGGGTAGGCGCACATGATGCTTGTAACGCTAGGAGGGAAGCAGCCTGGTTCAGGGAGATTTTGAGACTTGGATGAAGCTGAAGATCAACTGAGATTGACATTTGGATTCTCCAAGGATCACCTGAATATTGAACACTTCGAGAATTGGATGGAGATCAACTGATCGGGGAGAGCAGGAAGACCCTTGATTGTTTGCCGATGAGTCGGTGACCCCCCGGTTTTACGCTCATGGAGCATAATGTTGATTAAAATGGTTCCTAGTGTGTGCCTGAGTGGACCTGATAGTGATCGGAGGGAGGGATAAGTAGATGAGGTTGGGGTTGAAGATAAGTTTGCGCATTTGTGGATGGTGTTTCAAGTGTTCACGGCATAATTATAGCACCAGTCATGTACACTTTGCAAGCAAGATTGCTGCTGCATAAGCTGCTTGTAACAACTCTTGAAGTAAGCATGGCTTGTTGCAAGTCTGATCCCTACCAGTTTTGGCTTGCCTGTTGTCGCAGGTGTTTCACCGGCCGACGTAAGGCCAACTCAGCTGCAGTTCTCACCTTCAACACCGCCAACCGCTGGCTGGGCGTACGCGTGGAGCTGCCTGGGCGAAAGTTGGTCGGTCGGCAAGAGCTGATTTTTGTCTCAAAGGGGGACCCCCAAGATGGTGGTTTTTCTTGTGTACTCCCATTAATATTAATGTCCCATTAATCGACCCAAAAAGGGTACCTTTAAAAAAAAGTAATAAAACAAACTGCTTTGGGTTTGGGGTAAAGTCAGATTCCTCAGGTCTGGGTGAGTTGGTAGGTTTTCCGGGTCAAAACCAAATCCGATGGTTGAACACCAAATCTCAGAACCAAGGTTGGGTTGGACAAGCGTCTCTCAGTGGATCCATTTACTAGGCAACCAAGGGCTTGCCACCCTACCCACCAGGAAAATAGCTGGTTACTGCAAGGGGTAACTGGGATCCAGTGGGTCTAGTTGAGCAAAGACCTGATAGTTTTGTGGGCTAGTGGGGCGTTTGCAACCAGTGCAGCTGCCTTTGGTTTATTGATGCTGTTTGCTTCTGAGTTGCATCCTTCACCGGGCCTTGGATCGGGTAGGACCATTTTTTGGGGATGATATGTTGGCTCCAATTGCAGCCCTTGGTATTGTGAATAGAAGCCCGGCCGAAGCTGTGTTTGGGATGAGGTATGACTGCAGTACCTTGTTTTGGGTTGGGGTGTTGGGGGTCAACTATTATGAAATCATGGTTTGCTTAGATTGGCCTGCAGAGATCCGGACTGCTGGAGTAAGTCATTGATGATGGAGTTTCGCGAATTGCGCGGGGGACAAAGAATCTCACAACATGTGTTTTCTGGGTGCTAAACAGCCTCCATGTGTTTACAAACGAACGGAAACCAAAAGGGAATGTGTTTTTCCAGATCCCGTCTATAACATCCCCTCTTCTTTTTTGACAAGTGGATCGCTGCAAACAGCTTGATAGATTGCCGCAGCACCGTTGAACGCTGCCAACGCACATCATGCGTGGCGTGCCGTTGGATTCCTTGTCCTTTGGCGTGTTTGTCTTTTTGCCTTTCTCAGTTATGGTACCTGGAGAAGCCGTTTTTTTTTTCCAGATTGAATCCGTGCGCGCCGCCTGTTGGAGGCGCTTGCCACGTCTCCAGCATTCCACGAACACGAAACCCGACATATTCTCGCGACCAATTTCCTTCCAGTAGCTTTCATGTTACTGCAGAGGGTCTCCAGCCATTGGAATGGCCATTTATACATACAGAAATATATATATATATATATAATCATGTGTTGTTGTTTTTTGCTTTCGTGACTGAACTCTGCGACCCAGTTCCGAGCAAAGCTGCAGCTGGCGGTAGAGGGAAGGCAGCCACCGCAGAATAGCTTACTCACACGATTCCCTATCTGAGCCATGGTCAAAAGCCCTTATAGGGCCTATGGTCACGGTTCCCTCAACAGCAATCACTATACCTCTCGCGTTCGCATCAAGTCATGTTGGGGGTGAAACCTGCAGACTCTCAGAGAGAAGGCCTAAGGACTGTACCTGCGAATCAACAGTAACGCTGTGAGCCTCCATGATATTTTGATCGAGGTCACCAGAAACAAGAACCTCGCACTTGGTCTTACAGACCTCAAACAGTGCTTTCCATTTCCATATGCATTTCACAGAGAACCCACAAAGGATCGCACTCTGGCTCGCTGTACACCAAAGTGGCCTAAGACTATGCTGATACACTCCCTGAGACTGGCGTGGAAGCTCCCAGAAGGCCTCTGTAAATGGAACCAAGTCTTCCAAACAATTCCTGGGAGCTTGCATGTTGGTAAGGGGGAGGGTAATCCCAAGTAAAGCGAAGTAGAGCAGGGCACATATCACCTGTTGAGAGTGTTTTAAAATCAATCGACAGCGTTTCAAGGGATGACAGCATTGCCGCAGGCCAAGTTTAAAATCAAGTTCCTTTTGCCGGGGTGATGCTCAAAGGGGCAATATAGGAAGCCCTGACTCATGATGATAACATTTGCACTTGAGAAGTTGTGTGATTTTGGTGTTGGATCCCTGAGGGAATGGCGGCGCTATGATGCCGTGTGCACAACTAGCCTCTGAAACGAGAGCAACAAGCATTGTATAACAAGCACAGCTCAGCGAATGTGAATCTCGGATGGTTTCCGAGTGATAATGCGATTGCATCCCGCGAATTTGCACTGCCCACATTGTTGCCCGTGGGAGATCGTTGGTACTGCTTTGTCATTCATTGGATTACACGAAGTAGTGTGCTGTCCACAGGGGTCGGAAATGATTGATTCGCGGAGCCCGTTGAAGTGGGAGCTTCAAGTCAAGGAACAGTTCGCAGCCACTGGTGTTCAAGCACAGCCACTGGATCCCTTACACTCCCTCAAACATGGAAGCTCCCAGTAGGTCTTTGTAGAGCCAAGTCTTCCTTTGGGGGTCCGTTCGGGAGCTTCCACGTTAGTCAGAGGGAGGGTATCTCGTGCTCCATGCATGCTGAAAAGGCCTTGGCATTTGCCCTCATCACCCTGATCGCAGCTCTACAAGGATGCAACCAATGCGACACGAATGCCAAAGACGCATGCCCCACGACCACTGCTGAGTCGGGCTGCGGAGCCTTGCAAGCATACGCCGACTGCATCAAGGACGCGGGCTGCTGCTGGTACCCTCTTGGAGGTGGAAGAAAGGTCAACGATGATAGTACTGACATGGAGGCCGCGGCAAAGTTGCTCGAGTCCGCTTGTAGCTTTAACAATCCCTGCGGCGCATTCAAATATTAAAGCGCCATGGAGGGTGTATATATATATATCACTTCAGCTGCATTGCAGATCACTGGTAATTGCTGAGATGGAAAGAATGCCGCTGCTCCTTTCGGGGGCCATGGTGGTTTTGCTTCCCACCAGTTACTCCAAAAGTGCTTGGTGCTGTAGATCCCTGTGGCCATGATGGTTTGGAGTTGCGCCCGATGTCGAGGGTAAATGGGAAACCCCTGCTTGACCCAAACCACTCGGACAGATCTGACAGGGGGGTCCCTCAGTTTCCCTTTTTCGACCTTCAAAAAGTGACAACATGTTGTTGGCACCGCACCTTTTGAAGCTTTGTGGACCTCCAGCGGTGGCAATTCTGGGGCCCAACCGACTTTGTTGAAGAACTCCAGTGGCCCAAACCAATCCACAGATCCCAAGAATTATTTCTCCTCCCTGACGCTGTGACGACTTCCCGAGGCTTTTGGGCGCCTTCATCAGCGCCTTGGTGGGCCTGGGCTTTTTCGCGCTGCGGGAGCAAGTGCCCGCGGGCCTCGTGGGCATGTGCTTCATCTGGACCACGCGCCTCGGGCCCACGACGAACGACGGACGACGGGGGGGGGGGGGCAAAAACGGGGGGAACGCGACGCTACACGCCGGTGTTTGTTTGTGGTTTCGAAGGAAGATCAGAAGGAAAGCCACCAATGTCGTATGCACGAGATGGAGAATGTGAATGTCAATGTCGGATTGATAAAACCTCCCCCCTTCCCCCCTCCCTTCCCAGCAGGTCAAACCTTGGATTCGATTGGTTCTGGATCAGAAGGAAATCTGCGGGGGCCGCTCTGCGGGATTGATGAGGGCGCATCGGAAAGCTAGACAACCGTTTTAATTGGGTTTTCCGAACGCACTGTACTAACTAGGGCTGGTCTCGGAGGCCCGCATCAGAGTTTGGAGTTGTTAACTTTGGGTCTCGAAAGCGCGCCTTAGCAATTGGTAGAATCAATCGAATGTTGGGGTGTGTGTTCCCCGTGCTTGTGGTGTTCAAGGAAATCCATAAGCAAATCCTCAGCTTTGGGGGGGCCTGAAAAAGAGACACCCATGTCAACATGATGGCTGAGAATGACTCCGGACTTGGCTGCAAGTCATGGAGAAGGCTATCAACGACCAAGCTAGAAACATTATAGTGCAAGGAGGGGTTGTCCAAGGGGCCTAAGCTCAGGAACCCTTAAGATTTGTTCAACACCTAAGGAACCCCAGGGCTCTCAACTACTGACCCACCTACCAACCCTTTTTAGGGAGCCCATAAGGCCATTCACGCTTCTCAACTATTGGGGGCAGATACGTTGATTATGTCTCGATGGGTCCGCGAAAAACCCGCCATACCGTTCTCGCTCGCCTCGATTCGCCTGAAGGGCATGGCGGCTCTTGAAGTATCATGACCAAAGCTTAGGGCAAGCCCCCACTTGCAGCAAGGCCGGAACAGCATTCCATCTCTCGCGAGCAACGTTTGTTTCAGCAGCAATCCCCCCCATCGTTTTTCCCAATGCGTTTGTTTAACCCATCGGAGAGCCCCTCCATTTATAAAAAAAAAAAAAAACGGGGTTTCCATTGGTTTTCCAAAGAAAGCCAACCGGCGCATCGCGGTTTTTCACCCGGTTGTGAAACCGGAAGCGGTGAAGCGGCGGGTGCCCGGTTCTTTCCGGTTTTCGGCCCGTCAGGAACCTGGCCGTGTCGCTGGGCTTCAACTGCATCTTCTCCAGCCAAGCCTTGGGCCCAGACGGAAGCCGCCGGAGCTTTCGAAAAATGGGCCTGAGATCCTTGAGGGCTCTTGGGCAACGGATCTTTAGACTTTCACTTTTTGGTTGAAATCAAGGGGTTAACCCACCAAAGCCACAAGAAGTTGAAAACTTGTTGCAGAGGGGTCGATAGCAAGCAAGAAATGAGGGTCTTTTCGGATTCTTCGGTTTTCCATGTTTACCAATGCAGAGCAACCAGTTTCAATTGAATCTGAGGTGCTGTCATCACTTTCCTTGGGCAAGTGAATCGGATGGCTTGCACTTTCTTTATCACCGCTACATCTTCAGAGAGAGAGAGAGAAGAGAAGATATGAAAAGAACAGAGCAGCGAAGAAAGCAGAGAGAAGAGAAGAAAGACAAGAGACGAGAGAAAAGAGAGAAGAGAGATAAGAGAGAGAAGAGAGAGAAGAGAGAAGAGACAGAAGAGAGAGAAGAGAGAGAATAGACAGAAGAGAGAGAAGAGAGAGAAGACAGAGAAGAGCGAAGAGGAGAGAGAAGGGAACAGAAAGAAGAGAGAAGAGATGAGAAGAAACAAGAGAAAAAAAGAAGAGAATAAAAGAAGAGAAGCAAGAAGAGAAGAGAGAAGAAAGCGAAGAGAAGAGAAGAGAAGAGAGAAGAACTAAGAGAGAAGAGAAGAGAGACAAAAGAAGAAAGAAGGTAATAAAGCAGAGAGAAGAGGCGAAAGAAAAAATACACAGACAATGTGAGTGCGAAGCTGGCAGCTCTGATTGTAGTGTGTGAGAAAGTGATGCGCTTTCGGGTTCATGGGTTCTATCTTGTTTAGAGGGTGCCCATTTTTTGTTGTTTAATTTGAACCTCCAAAAAGGAACACCCACCATTTTATGGGGGTGTCCAGCCTAGAAAAAGACGAACTTGCCTCACAGTCACTCGCAGAGTGGGCCAGTGAGTTCCACATTTGGGTTCGGCCAAAGGACGCTTGGTCGATAGCCATGGTGAAGCTCTGGGTTGAGACGGGCAATAGTAATTCCGCTCGAATGGAAGATGTTCCCATGAGTGTCTAGACATATCGCAATGAATGGCCGGGTCCCTGTTTTTCTCCCCCACAAACCCAACCCAACCCAACCCCGATCCCGCAAAGCCGCAACTCAACGCAACCTCCCCAGCCTGGGCCCATTTTAGGGCTCCAACCCAACCCCAACCCCAACCCAACCGCAACCCAACTTCGAGACCCACAGCCTCCCCCTCAGGCGGAGGCGTGCTTCACCTCCGTGGAGCGGATCACGGAATACGCCCTGGAGGCAACGCCCAAAACGCGGCAACTCGCCGTCTGCTTGGGGAATGGCGCACCCCCAAAATGGGACACGGGGGCTTTCCTTTTGGCTTCCCTCGAAAACCACCAACCACCCTCCAAAAAGAGACCCACACCCATATCGGTGCATATATATATATATATACAAGATGTACATATAGGTACATATATACATCCCTCTTTCAGTTTACCGGAAAGAAAACCAAGAGGGGATGGGTGATGGTTTAACACGTTCCAAAGGTATCCGACACGCGTAATCTTTCATGCTGTTTGGAACCTCGGGTTAGTACCCACTTTCCTGATTGGTTCCACCAAATGAGAGGGCTCCCGATATGGCGTGCGTGGGTCCTGTGCATATATATATACATATATGTGGGTTTTGGTCGCATGCGCGACTGTGTGTGTGTGTGTGTGTCATGTGTGCGATGTGTGGTGTGATGTGGTGTAGTGTGGTGTGGTGTAGTGTGGTGTGGTGTTTTGTGTGTATAGTATGTGTCTTTGCTTGGCCGTGGTTCGGGTGTTGTTGGTGTTTTGTCGTTTGTGGTATGTGGTCATCGGTTGTGGTTGTGATTGTGCGTGCCCGCATGCGTGGTTCGGTCTTGTGTGCGTGTGTGTGTGTGTGTGTGTGTGTGTGTGTGTGTGTGTGTGTGTGTGTGTGTGTGTGTGTGTGTGTGTGTGTGTGTGTGTGTGTGTGTGTGTGTGTGTGTGTGTGTGTGTGTGTGTGTGTGTGTGTGTGTGTGTGTGTGTTGTGTTTGTGTTTGTGTTTGTGTTTGTGTTTGTGTTTGTGTTTGTGTTTGTGTTTGTGATTGTTTGTGTTTGTGATTGTTTGTGTTTGGGTGTGTGTGTTGTGTTGTGTTGTTTTTTGTTGTTTGTTTTTCCGTGCGCACGCGTGCGTGCGATCTTGTGTGTGTGTGTGAGAGGGAGAGAGTGCGTGTGCGTGTGCGTGCGCTTGCCCACGGGTTGTGTGCGTGTGTGTGTGTGTGGGTATATTGTTGCGTTTTCGCGTGTTTAGATGGCATCATACAGGGATTTAGCTTACAGATGTTGCATGGCAATAAGGATATACATTTCTAAGATAGTCATGCTTGATGTATTTGTGATGGGGCCCTGCAGACTTTAGTTGAGAAACCCTCTGCGGAACTTGACCAAGCTGCATGTGTTTTCCTTGAGCTGTCCTTTTGAACTCGTTCCGTGTGACGATTTGCTTCAGGGGGTCGCTGCGATGGTTGGGTAAGCGGCCACGGCCAGTATGCAGGTGCCCTGCGAAGGCGAGCACCAAGATTTGGACACTTGGAGGACCGTTCGCCAGCGAGACCGGCCACGGGGCATGTCACGCACCGAGCAGGGCTTTGGTGCACAAAGTGCTCGTTGTGTGTCTCTGTGCGCGTTCGTGAGTTGGATTCGTTCATGGGATTTGTTTCTAGGCACTGTTTTAGGCATCACCGGTTTTCGGACAGACAGTATTTGTGTGTAATGTTGTTTGATTGATTGCTTCCACGGGCTATTACTTGAAGCTCGGACGGAATCTTGAGGCATGTTTTATCGCTGAGTCTTGATCCCACGAGTCTCCAGAGTTTTCGACGATCCCTTCCACAGAGCACCCGCCCCAAAGAAAACTTTGGCTTTGGCTGCCCACGAGTGTGGCTCAACATCGCCGCGCCTTTTTTTGGCGGGTAACCCCTTCGTTAGTTTACGTTCTTCGGGATTTTGCCGGGAACCCACACCCCGGTTTGGTGTGGCCTTCAAAAGACACCCGATCAAACAAGTCAATCAGAACCGCAGGGGTGAATTTACCATTGGGTTTCCTGGGGTCCATCAGAACGTCTATTGGTTACTCCTGATTGGCAGAGGCCCCTCCACCCCTTCTCCCTTGAAAGAAGTTTGGAGACGCCTCCTGCCACATTTGGAGCCTTTTCGGTCGTCTTTCTTGCTTCTGGCCCCTGAATTGGAAGCAGGAACCTGGAGAGCCTTTGAAAAAGTCATGCCTTCTCCTCACAAGGGGCAACACTGGGTCCCCCAATAGTGCCGCTTTATCCTTTTTTGGTTGGGAGGGTTCCAAAAACTACTAAAATAGCCTACAGACAAAAATCGGGTACCCTTATTCTAAACTATTCACTGGAGGACCTAGAACAGGACTTTCACGGTGCAACAGCCGTTTTGGGCTTGGAGCCCAACTGGGCCCTGATTCATCGCGTGGGGGTCGTCAGGGCGGGGGGGTGAAGAATGATGGGTAGGGTTTCTCGAGCAAATCTCCTTGGCGACCCTAGAGTTCAACCCCCCCGAACAGAATGGTTGACCCAACCTAGAGAGGACAAGTCCTTAGGTCAGCAATTGCGGCTGTATCAACCCCATGGTTTTAATGCTGGTTTGAACCCCGGGGTTTGGTCTTGCGCATCTGGGAGGGGAAAGAGAAAGCCTTCAATAGGCTGTCGCTCTAACAGCACAGCGAACCCCCCCCAGATCCCCCAGTGGCCATGCGAAGAAACCGAGCAGCCTTTGTTTTGGACACTTGTCTTACTTCTTCAACTGGGTGGGGGGACTCGTCCCGCAGGAGCCCTGTGGCGGCGGAAGTGTTCGCCAGCTCGAGCCAGCCGTTACTGATGTTCCAGAAGGCGGAAACTCCAAGCGGCTCACTGGGATGGAGCTCCAAGCGGTTTGTTATGGAACTCCAATGGTTTGAAGGGTCTTCCCCGGCTCACCCCTGTAGGTCCCCAGTTTTTACACTTTTTTTGGGGAGGGTTCCCCTACTAAAATAGACTACAGCAAAAGGGTATATACCTTTATTCTAACCTCTCTACTGGAGTGCTTCTCACTTTACTTGGTGGCTCCCAGCCATCCCCTTAGCCTTTTAGCTTTTTAGTGTTTAGTGGGGATTTCCATTCAACCCACTAAAAGTTAAACTTTTTGTGGGGTATCTGAGGACAGCCCAATACTTCTTGGGCTTGGGAAGACCATTTTAGTGGTGAATAAAAAGTTAAGACTTTTGCGGGCATCCAGGAAGTGAGCTTGGTGATGCTTCGGCAAGCTGTTTCTCAGGCGTCATACCCTTGGTTATGTGTCAAAACCGAAGGCTCTTCTTTTTTTTTTCGTGGATGGGTTCACAGGTCAAAGGGAACCTGCGCATCATGCAGCTTGGGAGCGCGTCTTTGGCTTCAATGGGGGTCTCCAATTTTGACATCCACACATGGTTGTTGCTGGGAAACATTCTACATTTTAGATTTTCGTGTGTAGTGGGAAATCCCCACTTAACTGCTAAATTTTAAATCGTTGCTCCCCTTCCAACGTCAACCAAGCACAGGGAGTGGTTGCCTCGCTTGGGAGGTGTCTCTGCGGTACCAGCCGGACTTGCCGCTGGCACTGAATTCGGTGTCCTTCACTCTGAACCGCAAGGACGCTGCAATTCGCAATTCGCAATTTGACGCAGGACGTGCGCGCCATGGGTTCACACCGGTTTTTGGGTTTCAACATGCTGGTTGGACTTTTTTCGGCATGGCAGATTGGGACATGATTCGAGGTTTCCCACAAAGCCAAAAGTCCAACATTTCGCAGGGGTTGGAGTCATTCAGTTTGCTGTTCCAGGTGTGGCCTGGCCCCCAGGGGCATCCGCGCACTTGCTTTGGCAAGGCGCGAAAGGAACGGGAGGAACTGGAGAACACAGCTTGATGCCGGATGGACAACACCCACGGACCGCATCCCTCAATTCCACTCTTGCCTGTCTCAGGCTTGAGCTCGGCACGAATGACTGCAGATTCGGTTTGCTTTGTGCGTATCATGTTTGCGCTCCGTTGGTTGTTGTGATGATGCTGTGCCATCTTTGTTACGCAAAGCTATTAGTTGACCTCTCTTGCTGACAGAAAAGCTTCGACCCATGCCGTCAGGATGTCAGGTTCTAGTAACTATGACTGGCTGGCTGAACTCGCACAAGAGGGCTGCTTGATAACGTGCATGCTTTTGGGACAGCCATTGGCATTCTCATGAGAGGCAGTTCCACGTTGACTGCCATTAGATTGATACATTCACTGTCTTCACAACGTGTTTTCAGACATACTGTGCATGGACAAAACCCTGCGCCACCCAAGAAACCCAACGCAATGCTAAGTCCCCTGCAAATGCCAACAAACTATTGGTTTCAACCATGGTTTCTTATAATTAGGTGGTGCATGGTGGTGCGAAATGGTTTCCGCAACCATCCACAGAGCGTCTCAGAAGCGAAGCGGATCTCACTTCCTGAGTTGCTGGACTTTCGTCGCTTTTGGGTTTGGACCATCTTAGTGTCAACTCGAACTGAAGTCCAGACTAGTATTTATTATTATTATTGTTATTATTATTTAAGGGCTGCCGCCCAGTGCCGCCGACCCCTTCATCTCAGATAGCGCAAAGTCGGGGATACGGAGCAGAAGCGGGGAGGCCGCGCGCTCCTCAAGAGAGAAAAAAGAGTGGAGAGATCAGTCAAAAGCATTCGCTTTACTGCAGCTCCAGGCTTGCCAAGTGTGTTTGCGATCCCCCCCAATCTGGTGAATCAAACCATCAACCAGTGGTTCCAACAAAGGTTCCTTCACCACCTGCTTCACAAGGGAATCGTCTTTTTCTCAACTGGTAAGAGTGATTTCTAAGATGGCAAAAAAAAACGTATCCTTTAAGGGACCCTGTCCAATTCACTTCTTTGGTCCATACCTTCCGCCTTGGACCATGGCGACACTTGGGGCGCTGGCTGCTGCTCGGGGCCTCGGCTGAGTCCGCGCAAATGGGTATCTTTTTTTTGAGGGTGTCCCCCTTTTTTGTGGCTTTTAAAGGAAAACCAAAGGGAAACCCAGGATTTTGGGGGGTCCCTTAAAAAAAGGCAAACCTATATCTTTCACCCTCTATCCTTCCAGCCACGAAGATTTCCTGGGTTGCGCTGTGCAGGCCATCTCTCTGCGATCCATGGCACGGGACATGATCTCTCGGACAATCGGGGAGTGTAATTCTGTGGTGCAAAGTTTGCCAAGGGATGTTAGTTGACTTTAACCTTTTTGATCCAACTAATAAGGGGGTTTCTCAAAGTTGGGGGCCGATTCCTCCAGGTAGGCTTCGGTTTCCTGTTGGTTTCCGGCTTGGTTGTGCAAAGGCTTCCCTGGAAGTTTGAAGCAAATGCGAAACCAGCAAACAGTAGCCAAGCATTAATTGCTGGTCCTCAGGATAACGTATCGTCCCTCTCGAAAACTCGCAAACTGCGCGCCAAATGCAAACATACAGGCGGTCAATGTTTTGTGCTTTCGGGTCTGTGAGAGCGAGTGTTGCAGGCAGGCGTATTTTGTCAATGCGGATTATCCCCTGGTGGTATAAAATTTTGACCCACACGGGAGGCTTCCATGGAGCCCGCGTTACTGTCAGCGGTCAGGACGTCCAGGTGCATTCCGTCGCCTCGGAGCCGACATTCTTCGGGAACCACGCGCCGCCGGATGATTTGGACGGGCAGATCATCGACCTGGCCCGGGGGATTTTGGGGGGGGGGGGGGGGGTGTTAGGGAGGAGTGGAGGAGATACATACCTACATGGATACAGACAGACAGACAGACAGACAGACAGACAGACAGACAGACATACCACCATCCAGCGGCTTCAGGCTTTGCCCTTCGCTGCGGACCTGTCGATCCATGCCCTTCACTCAAGGCCGGGAGACGACAAATGCGTGGTTGCCCTGCGAATTTGGGTTTGTATCCGAATGGGTTTGTGAGATGTCTACAGTTGAGTAGATGACACAGCTATTTCTGTTGTTGCTTGTGCTCATGAGTTTGCGTAGTGTTTGTTGGTGCCCCTGAGTGCGGCTACATCGCTTCTGTTGTCGCATATGCATTTGCCTGAAACCGCTGCTGGAAAGCGATTCGCTAAAAAATGGCGATCCCGTGGGCCTACCCGATTCGTTGCTTAGGTGAATCAATGCTATGCCCCTGTTTTTGTTTCTTGTGCAGGGTTTTGAAGGAGGCAGCATGAGCGTCCTCTCGGTTTTTCCTCTTGGTTTTTGGGTTGGCTTTTCAGGGGCGTCCTTTTGAAGCCGCACGGAGGGCGGAAAGTGTCCCGTTGTTGTTATGCTTTCTTAATCTACTCAGAAATCACCCTGCTTATAGCTTCCTTTGAACTGTTTGTGCACCAAAACCGGGCGTTCAGTTTGAAGACGAGCGAAAAGGGGGATTTAAAGTTGGTTATGTTCCTTGGGTTCTCCATCACGTGGTAGTCTTTGGGGTCTTTTTGGCTGCTACTTCCAGCAGACACACACATACATTTCTCACCACACTCCTTTCCAGCGAGTCAAAAATCTGGTGATGGTGGTGATGCGACGCGCTTTTTCTTGCCATAGGATGCTTATTCGTTTCGTCAAGAAAATTTAGTTTGACCTCTTGCTTTCCAGCTATTGCACCGCAGATGATGCTGGTGATAAACATTCTTTTTTGCCACAAGTCGCTCTTCTGTGTCGTCAAGAAAACCTTACTCGCGCACAATAAGCAGTAGTTGGAAGATGTTGGAGAGATGTCCCCCTTGAGTGTCAGGAGTCTCTTTTTGTTTGGTCTCGTCGAGCGTACAACAAGAACACGTAAATTGTTGGAAGGCGGCGGGAAAATGGCTGCTTACGGGACGGCAGGCAGAGATTACCCAATGGCAGACGAAGGCCGGCGAGCGCGATGGCGTTTTCGACTAGTGTGAAGCAAGACGTGTGCATTTCCATGTACCCAACGCAAAGCTCGATGTGCCCAACTGTTGTTGTGCTGTGCTGCCTCAACATTGGTCCAGAGGTGCTGTGAAGAAAGGAACCCGCCAACGGCCAGATTAGGATGCCCAGTTACGCGACTGTGTTTTCTGGTTTGCTTGCGCGTGTGTTTAAAAGAAGTGACAAAGACACGGGCTTGTAGTTTTCTTGTAGGCTCCGGGCAACATGTTTATGTACCGGTTTCCGATTTCCAGCATGAGAACATCCATCTTGGTGGCTTGCATTGTCTTGAGACTGGCTCGGTGGAAGAATTTTGTACGTGCTGATATTGGAATGCAGTCAATTGGGAAACGGCGTACGCCTTGTTCCCCAAGTGCTTTCGAATCTGGAACAAGGCGCCTCCCTTCTTGTCTACTGTGGCTTTTGGTGGCACACTTTTTCTAGGGTCCCCTTGCAACAGGCCTTGCGGTTTTCATGTATCAGTAGCTCGCGTTCTAGCTATTTTGTCTTTCAAGGTGGCAGCTCTAGTTAGCTTTGCTTCCCATGGCGGTGGCGGTGAAGAAGCGCCGCGTGTCCGGGGCGACACATACCCCAGCCGCCTCGGTGACGGGGAGTCTTTCTGCGCTCCATGTGGCAACCGCGGGCAGCGTGACGGGTTCGGTGGAAGCTGTTGTGGTTGCTTGCGGGGAGTTGCGTGGCGGCAAGGTTCCGGTCATGGACTTCGTGGTGGCGGACATGTCGACGTTGATGGTGGTCGTGCTTCTCAGCTGCGTTGTGGAAAGGTCGGCTGCGGTTGCATTGCAGGGGCTTTTTGTTGCAAGCGGCTGTTTTTGTGTTGGGCAGGGAATTCTGCTCTAACCCGAGGCTGTGGCGAGAGGTAGCGGCGCGGCACGCGCGCGCATTGCGCCAGTTGTACGAAAGTGAGTCGGATCTTCTGCCACGGGTTCGCTTGTCTGGCTTTCGTCTGACTAATCCGCAGCCGAGTTATATATCGCCTTTGGAGACGAAAGAGTTGCATGCCTTGCCGACTTCTTCGATTGAGATGCTGGAGCCCGGTGCATTGAATATGCAGCCAGGGCTTGCGAACTATTTGTCACAGTACACGGCCATGCTGCAGCATCCACGCGCTAAAGTAAATCTCATCGGCCAGTTGCTGGTGTCTACCACGCTGGGACAAACGGCTCGCGGAGCTTCGTCCTTTACTTTCAAGTTGAAGGATAGGAGCGGTCGCTGGGCAAGCAGTGGTTTGGTTTCTCGCGTTGGTAGAAGATACTTGGAGTGTTCTGCTAGGTTGGCAATGCCGCCTTTTGCGAGGGACCCTTTTGCAGGCACCGGTGTTGCACGCTAGATTTCTGTAGGATGCTGCTGAGGATTGCAGATGGATTGCTGTGCAGTGGGTGCCAACGCGGATGCTGCGGCAGATCTTCCCCATGAGTCGTTCGTGGCATTGTTCAACGGCATTCTGGAACCGGACTGGCATTTGCGCGAGCATGCGATGTAGGGATTTATCCTACGTGTTTTACGTTTCGCGATGTAGTAGGAACGCATGTCTTCGGATGGGCCCGCGCTCGGTAACCGTGGGGACGTATCCCTAAGGGAGCAGATGAAGTGAACAAGGACTTTGAGACTTTTCCTCCCGAGATCAGTTGCTAGCTTATGCAAATGTTGAGCGTCTCTGCTGTCTGAGCACACGCGGGTGCAATTG